GGTAGAGCAGTCATTTCTATTGTGGGATGAGGGAGGGGCAAAAAGTGTGAAGTGTGTGTGTGTGTGTGTGTTTTAATCAACTTTAGGGCTATCATTATGACCAACACGAAGAATCATTTCCTCATCTCATCTTCTCAAACAGCTGGCTGATACTTCAGTCAAGAGATGAAATTCATTCTTATACATGGTAAGGACTGCACAAATATTTATTTATTAAGAAAAAAATGAACTTCAACTCTCTAGAGCACATTCCTGTTCATTCCAACACGGCTCACACATATACTGGGTCCAGATATATCCAATCTGCAATGGATGAGATTAAAAAATAACCAGATGCAGTCAACCAGAGTCACCACCTTCTCTAAAAGGAGGCTAACTCAAGAGCCCTGGGGTTGTTTTGTGTAGGGGGTGAGGGCTAGTACTATTTTTCTTCTTTCTCGTGGTGGCCTGGCCCTTCTTTGACTTTATGACTAAAACCCTCACCTAAATTTTCTACTCACTCTCCCTTCTACTGACATTAGCAGCACCTGGTAATGACAAATTTTATCATCGTGTGGCCATCCCCTGCACCATCTTTCTTTAATCTGTCCTGACTTTGAAATGAATGTGAGTAAAGAAAAGAGTCATTCTCCCTGTTGTTTGAGATTGTTGACTTATTTGCATCAAGTGCAATTCAGGAAGTAGACAGGCAAGAATGGAAAAGTGTCTTAGCTGCATGAAATACAGTACTGAGGGTGATTAAAATTTTGGCCTCTGAGTTTAAGTTGACTGAGTCCAAATCCTACCTGTCACCACTTTGTCACTGAGTAGCTTACTTGGCCTTGCTGGGTCTTAGTTCCCCATCTGTAAAATGAAGTTAAAATAGTGGGTCTTTCATCGGCTATTGTTGGACTTTTGTTTCACTAAAGGAGGTAACACCTGCAAGTACTTTGGAAAATGCCTGGGGAACTGCAAGGGCCCGGAAGCACTGCGTAGTGTACAGTCCCAGAAGGAGGCAAGATGAAATTACAGACCATTATATTGGACTGTCTCCGGGGCCTTAGACACGTTAATGACCTCTCTGTGCTTCTGTTTCCTCATCTTTCAAATGGGGACAATAATAGTACTGACCTCAGAGGAGGTCAAGTACTATTTTGCAAGGCTAAAATGAAACAGTGTATGTAACATTCTTATGGAATAGTGCTGGGTCATTCAAAATGCTAAATACATACCAGTCATCATCATTACTGTTGTTATTTTAAAAAATTCTCAGCATTTAAATAAACATCCTATGCTTTCCTCTTTTGGTGGCCTTTCTCTAACAGTTTGAAAGATTTAATTCCTGGTGTTGTCTAGTTTTTCTTTGATGGGGGAGCTTCTTTGATCTAGGGGATGCAGTGTTTATGTTGGCTGTCAACAGGGCAACGCCCAGGAATTATTATTTTTTAAATGATCTAATGTAGTTTCCCAGAAATTCTCCAAAAAATAAACGTCTTTAGGGGCAAAATAAATTTGAGACTTCCACGTGTTCTTGCAAACACCTTATGCCCCATCTCTCAGGTGCATACATTTTCCTGCACATCCTGACCTTAGGCCAGAAATGGCTATGGCTCGGATATCTAAAATGAGAATTGTTTGGGTTAATTCAGTATGTTCACTTTGGTTTGAGGTACATTTTGTACTGGACGTTTAAAGGAATTACCTTGTATTTTATAATTAGACTACAGAGACTCGTTTTCTTATTCTATGTATTTATTCAGGTTTGCTTCCTACTTTATTTTACGATTATCAAAAGGGGCCTAGGAGGGTTTTTTTCTCTTTCTTTTTTATTGGTGGAATCTCCATGTTTCATAATTGAGCAGAGATTATTCATTGCCCTTTCACACCTCCAAAACATTCCACATTCATCTTAATTCCTGTATCGAAAAGGTTTCTACAAACATTATAGGTATGGAAACATAAATATGAGGACAATGGAATTTCCTTTTTCATCTCTATTACAAACATTCAATCAATATTCATGGGTCAAGGCAGGTACTACTTTTACTTCTCTTGAAATACCAGCACTACATTTATTCAGGAATAATGGTAAATCTTACAGACATTCAGAAACAAGCGTCCCTCCAGGGTGCAGATATTCCAGTCATTGCCCCTCCTGCGGCTGCCTAGGTGATGCCAGCCAGGAGCTGGTGCTCAGCACAAGCCTTCTTTGCCTCTCACCAGTCTCACTTGTGATAGGACAGAGCCTCTTACTGTGCCAGCATGGCTTATTTGGTTGAAAGACCATTTCTGGTGGGGGGCCTCAGGCACACTCAGCGAGCACTCTGTCACTGAGCTGTATCCCCAACCCCTTAGGAAACTTTTGACAAATGCAAAAATCACTGAGAAAAGCTGGTGCATCTTAACGAAGAATCTTCACTTAGCCAAACTTCAGTCAGGCTCCTGGACCTGTAACTGAGTCCCCATAATGAAATTAATCCTTTTTTATTCTCTTGTAAGAGGCTCCAGCCATACTTCCTCCCTAGTTAATGTTTAAAAACCAAACATTAACTAGGGAGGAACTTTTTTTTGAACTCAGGGAAAACCTGAATGAACCCTTTAGCTTTACTTGTTTCTGGTTATTACTCTCCATTGCTGATATCAGAAGGCTCTTAGCTAAACAATAAAGTAATGGCCCCTCCTAGCTTTATTACGGACAGCATCTCTGAAGCATGGTCATCTTGGTGACGAGAACATTATTTATCTCAGGGATTTGGAGATAGCCTTGTCTAGTTCAAACACACTGAAGCAGCTGACCCCTTCCCTTGTACCTGCCCACGTGTTGGATGGGTGACCATTTAATGCCAGAGGGCCAAAAATTCCGTTGCCAGTTTCTGAACATGTACTCCATGAAGTGTGATTACACATGCACAGACCACCAACCACTTCATGTTTTCTTGCCTCCAATCACCTCTCCCCACATCTCAGAATGCTTTTTTTCTTTACCCATGAATACCCCTAAATCCTATCTTTAGGGAGGTGGATTTGCATTTGGGGGCTCCCACCTCTGCATTTTTAGTGCCTCATGAACAAATTTTTTTCTCTTTTGCAAAAACTCATGGCTTCAGTGATTGACACATTGAAGGCAAAATAGGCCTGATTGGGTAACAAACCCTCTTATAGGTCAATCTGTGCACGTCC